GTACACACACATGAAAAAGACACATATACTGTTAAGTATCTCACAAACAAAACACTCAGACAAAGCCAATAACACACTACACCACACTACACTGACCATCTATGAGAAACCCTCAACATGAACTGAATCTAATGAGACATTCTAATCAGATTTCACCCACATATGCATGGGTAGGTTTTACTTTTAGCTGTCAGGATGATCCTGGCGTTCAGTACAGGGTTTCTGTGTCCAACGGTCCACATGATGACGGCTTCTTCTAGCTTCTGCTCTGACAAGATAAAAGGTCTTAACGGTCCTTTATTGCATCAACATTTTCAAAACTTTCAGATTAAACTTATACTTTGCAACATGTTTAAATGAATTAAAGCTAAATCAGTCAATTAATTAATTAATCAGCAAAGATACTGACAGTGTTTTGGATAAAGAAAAGAGGATGGCTGGCATCATCACTGATAAAGCTAGTTAGTCTTCCAAAGACCAGAACCACTTTTAGGAGTGTTTCTCAATCCTTTCATATGGGCCGTTATTTCCCTCACCACCAACTGATTTCTGATAAAGTGGCGTGTCGGTTCATAAAAAACGTACACAAAGGATGGTCTCATGTATCGTCGCCCATGGCTTCTGCAGGTGAATCCCAGTGCCACTAATTGCTTCCACAGTTCCCTCACTTGTGTCTTAGTCCCACCCATGTAAGATGCAAGGAAACAATGCAAGGACAAACTGTGAGGAGAGAGGAACCAAGGAAACATGTTTTAACTGACATGAAGCGTCCTTTCCTATGATCCTTCATGTGAAGGATCCAATCACAAACTGATTTCCGATAAAGGAGCATGTCAATCCGTAACAGACTTCTGTGAAAGATGCACTTGTGTATCCTCAGTTATAGCTCCTCCAACTGCTTCCTTGCTCCTCGATCCTCACTCCTTGGAGCAGAAAGAAGAGCTTTGAGACGGCCTTTGTTTCGGTGGACTAGAACGACTTCCAGGTCAAGTGAGGATCCATGACTGAGGAACAATGTAATAAGGGAGTTGGGATTTACCCACAGAGTGATAAAGTCCATGTCAGGATGCAGTGTGGTGGACGGATGGCTCAGACAACACAGGACTTCCTGTGTGAAACATGGTTTTTTTTTGTCCATGACTTCAACTGTAAACATGTGTTTATCATTGGAACATCACGATGGACATTTTAACCCAAGCCACTTCTTTTCGAAACCTAACCAAGTTCTTTTTGTGCATTAACCTAATGAAATTGTGATGGTTTGGTAATCGTGTGTTTATGATTGTTTCCATGACAACACAGGTCTGGTAAGCATGTTGCTAGAAGGGACCTATTAGCCATATTCTAAGGTAGGGGCCAATGATGTTGTTCAGTTTGGAGGACATGCTGTTTGCGTGCCAATTCACGATCAAGCCTTCAGCCAGACTGAGTGGCCCACTTCATTTGTGAATGAGACAAACCGCCACTTCCTCTGTCTAAATCTCTTCCTCTTGCTCAGCAGAACTTGCAGAAACCTGACTCATCCCACCTGATTTACGGGAGGATGGCTCTCATTTGGACCAGGGGAAAAGCGACCGGTTTAAGGACTGTTACTGTATTTTAAACACCGTTTGTGTTAAGACATTGATGAGCCCAGCAGCGACGGGGAGCAGTGGTGACCCTCCCTCGTGGCTCCGTGCAAAACCTCATTGGGAGACTAAAGGGGGGGGTGATAAATCTGCGTTGTGGCGGGAATCGATCGCTTCTCCCTCCTTTCCCGTGCTATCTCATCTGCAGAGGCTGAGAGAGGCAGAGCAGTTTAAACGATCCTGACCTTGTCCAACATAAATAGTCAGAAAAGTCCACGGAGCAGATAGCTTTGTGCAGGGCTGGGAGGAGGAGGAGGAGAAAAGAGGAAGGGGAACGCATTGAGATAAGAAGTGTGTGTTGTGGGTGTTGAATAAGAGATAATGCTCCTGCGTTACAACATCAGAGTTCATGTCACTCAGGCACAGATGTCGCCGTGGGAAACTGCCTCGGCCTCGCTTCTTGTCTTCCCTCCATCGCTATCTCTCGCTCTTTCCCCCTCTGATCAGAAAAAGAAGGGAGTCTAGAGTGAAAAAGAAGGGAGGAGTAGTGGAGAGTCTTTCCTTTCAAAGCTCTCATCCTTCTTTCTGTGATTACCTGAGAGAGGGATGAAGGGAGTCAATTGGCTCCCATGAACACCCATTCTGCACTCTTGAAGAAGACATGCGTGTTTTAAAGTAAGAAAGGAGCTCTTTTGTGCAGCGCCCCTCTTCTTTTCTTTTGAGTGTAATGCCGCTGTACCTGACAGTGGTGCTGCCCCGGGTAAAGGCAGAAATCTCTGCCTCCATTGTCACCTGTTCCTCTAATCATTTTCCGCCCGTCATGCCACAATGGAGGAGGGTGATAACGATAACGAGGTGAAGCTTATACAGAGCGGCAGCGAGGGGCCCAACACAGTGTTCACACATCTTCACTCATTCACACACACCTTTACTACTTAATACAGAAAGACATGCACACGCAGACACACATCTAGTCTTATTTCTTCTCACACACAGATGTTTGAGCCATTTCATTTTAACTAACATTAACACAGTTACACACTTTCATTATAAGACATAACACAAAAATACCAGTGTATCGTACAACTTCTCTGCTACATTGTGCTCACCCAGTTAACTGCAGAGCTCTGGGAATATGGCAAGAAGCAGAAGTGTGACAGGTAAAGAAGCCTGAGCAGGACAGTTTTTTTTAAACCACAGGGACTGTGGAAAACAACCACAGTTTACACACCAACTTCTGGTTTGACCCACTGTACTTGCAGTAGTTGCTTGCACAGCTGCCCATTGCAATGAGGGAATCTTACCAACCATACTTGGAGCCTCACTTTAGGTTTATTTCAAAGTCTAAATGGTTATTAAAACTTTGTTACTGCTGATGTTTCTTTCCCTGTTGGGCTTTGTCGTATATGTCACCATGTTGTCAGAACCCAGCAATTTCTTCAGGGCACAGGGTAGGCATCACTTTGCTATAATGACAACATTGTTGCCAAGAGCAAGGAGGGACCACGGCTGAAATAATAAAAATCTGATGTTTGGATATTGTTACATATTTGACCTTTTTATCTCTACCTCCTGTGAAAAGACTCTCAGCTCTGTTTTGCTTTTAAATTAAAATGCAACGTGTAGCTGCAGCAGCAATACAGCACACAGATCGAGCAGCTGAGCGGGTGATGACCGACTGAACATCTCATTTTAACAGTCAGCAATCAGACCTGATAAACTTGATCATGACTCTTAATGTGCCTCTAAAAGCTTAAAAAGAGCTTTGAGGGTGCCTTGTGATGTGTGTTGTGCTAAATTTACACTCTTCCATCCAAGCCTCATGACAGACGTCGAACTATCCTGCCACAAAGGAGACTAAAACACGGACACCACTAAGCCCTTTAACTGGACTGCCTGGCTCATCTTTCTTCATTTCACTGGTTCTGAGCACACACCTTTCCACAAAATGAACAATAACAGATAATTTATACAACACCTGCGGCCCTGAATCAAGGAAAATTCCCAAGTTTGTGACCTAGCCTCTGCAGATATTCCAACATGGCTGAGACCTCCTCTGCCCCTGGTTCTCTTCCTTCCCCACATCAGTGTGAAGCTGGATTGCTGGGCCTCACCACCGAGGGGAAGATGAGAAGGCTGCTGCTCTCTGACTGCGTTTATCACAGTCTGGCATCACTGTAATTTCAATGTTCAGATGCAATCGCTCCCCACTGCCCTCAGGAGTAAACAATAACAAGCACAAATACAATAGGAAAACAAGGCCTGCAGGACATATATGCACACACACATGCACGCACAGATGCAAGCATGCACAAACAGGAGGAACTATATTCTGGACACACATGATAATGCAAACCACAAACGCCCTCTGTATCATTTCTGTCACTACTGGCATTAACTGCTGCAAGCATGACCACGAGAACCAACCAGACCCGACTGAACTCTGATTGGGAATTAAATCTGAATATAGTGGATCAACTGACCAGAACTAGATCACCAGCCATGGCATAAAAATGGATTGCTTTGGGTTTTACTTACTTTGTCCTTTTACTTGTTGCTGGAGAGACCCCACATTTATTATCAGACAGCACAGCCTGGTGGACACTTTATGAGCTGCAAGAATAAGACAAGAAAATTGCAAGGAAACACTGACTTGCACAACTGTATTGTGTTGTCTGCAAATTCTTGCTTCCTATTTACACAAAAAGGTCAGAGGTCATGGTCAAGCTCCAGGGAACTGTAAGGGATTACTCAAGGATGCTTCAGCGTGATCTGTAAAAACGGGCCCTCAGTTCGTACCTGCATATCGTGAGTCAGCCATGAGACAAATGATCCGTCAGTCCTACGTTTTTATGTATATGATGTGCTACTGGATCATTACCACTGATGCAATAATATGCTAGCAACATTTACACATTATCACCAACTGCACTAATTTTACTCTGGCTTGCTGCATATTATGCATCATATAGGTTTTTGCAAAGTACCGAAGTTACATAAATAAAAGTTCAGTAAAAAGTCAATTACCTGCAAGTATGACAGTGAGAGAGAATATTTAATGTGAACTGCTCACATCATAGGCGGTAAATTAGCTACTTAATAGGCTCAGCATTGCTGCCTGAAATATAACAAAACATCACAACTTACAGCCTCAAAAATTACAGCTTAAATCTAATTCAAAAAATAAACTTGACTGGCTTCACAAAGGCAGCATTTATTGCACCGACTTGTACAATACTGTAGTGAGTTTCTGCTATTTTGTCCACCCTCTGTATATTTAGCACCATCCAGACAAACAGCTTACTAAAGACTCAAAATAGCTTTTGTTCTTTGCCCCCTGAACAGCATTTTAACTGTTATCTTTTGATGATAAAGTCTGAAACATTCATCTTTCCCAGGCATCAGAATTTAATGTGAAGAAAGAAACTGATGAAAGATTGATGGTTCTCTGTAAGAGCTTTATTTTATTCATATACTTTACAAACAGAAGCACAAACGTTCATTCGACTGGTCAACGCGTCTCTGAAGCACTTTGAAGAGCTACGGGCAATGGAAACAATGATCTCAGCCGATTATCTGCAGAGAAAAGAAAAATTAAATGTTAAGACTGAACATAAATGGCTCATTTAGACCCAATTGAGACAGTGGGGACAGACTGTGGAAACCTAAAGAGCATCTAATCTGCCAAAGAGTATATGGTACCCACTAGCCTGGAAGCATTACAGTCTACTGTAAAAACAAGGCTAAGAGAAGAGAGTCTGTCATGAAAGAAAGTGACTGCTTTTGGAAATTTAAAGACATGTTTGAGGAAGAGTAAACAAGGTCTCTTCAAACAAAAACAGGAAGACGTGGTGGAGTAAAACGTAGCAGGAGAGGAAACCTACACAGACATGTTGTGAAGACTTAAAGTGCAGCTGCTCCAGAGATGATCTCAATGAGCTCCTTGGTGATGACAGCCTGTCTGGTCCGGTTGAAGGTGAGGGTCAACTTGTCAATTATCTCAGCTGAGTAGGAGGGACAGAACGCCATCAATGTTAAACACAAAGTTTTTTTGCACAACATGTCAAACAAAATAAAAGGAAATAAATACAGAAACAAAACTTTGGTATCAACTAGCCCATTTTCTACATGATGCAGTTTTCCATTATTGCAGAACTGAGGAAGATTAAATCAAACACAAAAACAGTTAACAAGAGCGGCCGAGTGAATCGGTGCACTGTGCGCAGATGAAACGGCGCAGGAAAGTGTTCTGTAGTCAGTCGATCGCAGTATTGCAATGTTCTCTCGGACATAAGTATTATAATAAAAATAGGTGGCAAAATATACCTGGGCGGGTCGGGTCGCCCAAGTAAAGAGTCAATGTGTGGGGACCCCGGTCGAGTCACAGAAAATACACTGCAGACAAATCAGTAGCAGCTGAACTCAACATTCACTGGTTTAAATGTGAGGATTTCCTGCTTTTCTTTCTCTCCGACTTTCTCACTGTACATTCAAAAGTATTTGGGTTGTTATGATTGAAGATTTAACTCAGGAACATTTTTCTCAGTTTGACATTTTGTAAACAACCGTATACAGAAAATCAACTTCACCAGCTCTAAACTGCACCTTCTGTCTATGGGAAACATTTGACCTGCAGCTTTAGATTAATCAGTTCAAAGTGTATGAAACACACATGCAACTTCCTGAATCATAAAGTGGAGTCTTTAACTTGCAATCAACTAATCTGTATACAGTCAGGGAAAAAAAAATTATTGGAACCCCAGCTGATTTTGTAAGTTTGCCCACTAACAAAGAAATGATCAGTCTACAATTTCAGTGGTAGATTTATTTGAACAGTAGCTGGTGAGAAGGTGGCAACAGTTGGTGCGATTATTCGCAAATGGAAGAAACATCAATTAACTGCCAATCTCCCTCAGTCTGGAGCTCCATGCAAGATCTCACCTCGTGGAGTTTCAATGATAATGAGAACAGTGAGGAATCAGCCCAGAACTACTCGGGAGGAACTTGTCAATGATCTCAAGGCAGC